CGGGCTTTCGAGAGACTAGAAAGAGGTTTCCCTCCTGAAGGTTCTCCGACACTCAAATTAGATTATATCTTACCAGGAACAGATAATCAGGAGAGTGAAATGGTGATGATGGTTTTATAATTTGGATACCCTATCTGAGGATCGTGATACCTGTCTGCTATTTGGAATGAGGTGATGTGAAGTGTATGGACAATTGAGAGAGTGGATTTGGAGCTTCCTATTAATGGGGACCAAGTAAAGAGATTGGGAAGAAGTGAGTATGGAATGATGATGACAATGGAATTAGCGTACAAGCTCTAAAAGATAGTATATGAAATATGTCCCAAGAAGGATAATGAAAGAAAGTAAAGAAACAAAAACCCCGAGAGAAATACATACGAATTATGTCCCAGAAAAGGCAATGCAAGCAAGCTAACAAAAAAAAAAGAATCTCGAGGGGAATACACATGAAAATATGTTCTTGGAACGCTAAAGCAGGCAAGTAGAAAAGAAACAAGAATCCCAGGGGAATGTACACGAATTATGTTCATGGAAGGCTAAAGCATGCAAGTAAAAAAAAAAGAACCCTAGGGGAATGCACATGAAATATGTCTCCGGAAGGATAATGCAAGCATGCGAACACATAAATAAGTACTCCAAGAGGGAATGCACCCAATATCCCCGGAAGGATAATGCAAGCAAGCAAGTAAAAAAAACATGAACCCCAAGGGGAATGCAAACAAAATATGTCCCCGGAAGGGTAATAAAAGTAAGCAAACACAGAAACAAGAACCCCGAGAGAATGCACACAAAATATGTCGGCGAAATGGTAGTGAAAGCAAGCAAATACAGAAACAAGAACCCCGAGGGGAATGCACACGAAATATTTCCCCGTAAGGAAAATGCAAGTAAGCAAACATATAAATAAGAATCTTGAGGGGATGCATACGAAAAAAATCCTGGAAGGGTAATGCAAGCAAGAAAAGAAACAAGAATCCCGAGGAGAATGCACACTAAATACGTCCCCAGAAGGATAATGCAAGCAAGCAAGCACAAAAACTAAAAGCTCGAGGAGTATGCACATGAAATATATCTTAAGAAGGGTAATGCAAGAAAGCAACCAAAAACAAGAACCCTGAGAGGAATACACACGAAATATGTCCCAGAAGCGCAATGCAAGCAAGCAAACACAGAAACAAGAATCTCGAAGAGAATGCACACAAAATATACCCCTGAAAGGGTAATGGAAGCAATCAAACACGGAAACAAGAACCCCAAGGGAATTCACATGAAATATGTCTCTGGAAGGGTAATGCATGTTAGGAAACACAGAAACAAGAACCTAGAGAGGGATGCACACAAAATATATCTCCAGAAGTGTAATGTAAGCAAGCAAACACAGAAATAGGAACTCTGAAGGGAATGCACACGAAATATGTCCCTGCATGGCTAATGCAAGCAAGCAAAGAAGCAAGAACCCCGTCTCCCTAACTGTCTAGACAATGTTCACGTTGTGATTATGTGGAAAAAGTTTGGGTCACTTTGACCTTCCTGGGTGGGAGCGATTGAACAAAGAAAAGAAAAGAGAAACTCCCAAAAGTGGCAATCTCTGGTTCTCATAGGAACAGTACCCTAGATGTCGTCCGTGGAGGAGCATGATAAATAAGTGCGACTGTCTCCGGATGTTGCTGGCAAAAAGTATGAAGAGAAGCTCATGAAAGAGGCAATCTCCTGTTCCCTAAAGAACAGTACCACATAGGAAAAAAAAAAGTCAAAGAAGGAGCCTGCTAAAGAAATGTGATTGTCCCCGGAGGGGAGGGAGCTGGCAAAAAGGAAAGCGGAGAGAATACTAAGTTATGACTTGACAAGTAGAATTCCCTGCAATATAGATATATGAAACAATGGAAATATGTATATGGACACTAATACAATGATGAAAATGGTATGTGGTACAAGCTCCAAAAATAGTATATAAAATATGTCCCTAGAAGGATAATGTAAGCAAGCAAGTAAAGAATTAAGAACCCCAAGGGAAATGCATAAGAAATATATCCCAAGAAAGGTAATGCAAGCAAGCAAACACAGAAACAAGAACCCTGATGGAAACACACACGAAATATGTCTTTGAAAGGGTAATACAAGCAAGTAAGCAAAGAAACAAAAATTCCGAGATGAATGCGCACGGAATAGGCTCCGATTGGTAACACATTTTTTATGTCGCGGAATTGCGGAATGGCAGAAAAAAATGAATTGCAGAATAATTTATTGCAGAATTGCGGAACTTTTTTTTTACATGATTGGATAAATTATGAAGAATGGCAGAATTGCAGAATATGCTTATTTAAAAATATTCTGTTTTTTATTATATATTATAAAAAAATATTAATAATTCAATCAATTATTATAAAATGTTATAATTCTAATTGTAACTTTTTAATAATTTATTTTTTTAAATAAAAAAAATTAAAAAATATTACAAACTTTAAATAATAGATATAACTTTATCATTAAATAATTTTTTGTAATACTAAATTATTTATTTGTATTTATTTAAATAATAAAATATAATTAGTTATATAATTGAATAATATAAATATTGATTCCGCAAATAATCTACTCTAAACACGCTTTTCCGCTTAATGAAGAGTTCTTTGTATTTTCTGTAAGCAAGCAAGTAAAGTAACAAGAACCCCAAAGGTAATGCACACGAAATATGTCCCGAGAAGAGTAATGCAAGCAAGCAAATACAGAAACAAGCGCCTTGCGAGGAATGCACACGAAATATGTCCTCAGAAGGGTAATGCAAACAAGCAAACATAGAAACAAGAACCCTAAGGGGAATGCACACAAAATATATCCCCGTAAGAGTACTGCAAGCAAGCAAGCAAACAAAAAACAAGAATTTTGAGGGCAATACCCACGAAATATATCCCAAGAAGGGTAATGCAAGCAAGCAAACACATAAACAAGAAGTCCAAGGTGAATGCACACGCAATATATCCCTTGAAGAGTAATACATACATGGGGGTAGGATATTACTGGTCATACCGTTGCTTTCCTTGGCGGGCGGTTTGTTTAGCAGGATCTTTATTTTTCTCCAGGTGACCTTTCCCATACTTTTGGCTTCCCTCCAGTCGGGATTATTTCCCTCTTATTCAAACTGACCAGCATCTCTGTGTTAGACGACGTGCCTCTTTTAGTTTATGCATATGCTTTTGTCCGTCTATAGGGATGATTACGTGGCGAAACTTCCTTTGCTCTCAGAATAGGGTGTTACACCCCACTGTTTGTCTTGCTTTGTGCTCTGCTGCAGATCCGCTGTTTTGGCTTACACCATTATTACAAGTTGCGTCTTTTGCTTCATAATGATGGGTCTTTTTGACATGCATCTCGAGGAAGTGTGTTGTTTACAAAACAAGCCCTCAAACTTCTTCTGCTTTTCTTAATGACTGCGATGTTTTCAAGCGCCAATCCGGTTTTTTGTTGGGTGTTGTAATTGCCCTTCTTCGCGAAGTTTTGTCTTCTCACCATCGCCTTTGAAACTTCTTACTCTCTTTTTCTTCTCCGTGTTTCGATGAAATTTTTCTTTCTTCTCCTAACTTGCGCCAGTCCCCTTATTTCTCTGTGCTGCATCCATGTTGGCTTCTTTTAAGAGCACACCAGTGGGGTCTGTATGGGCTTTGCTTTTCGAGGCTTCTTTTGTTTGAGAGGGCATCGCCGGACCTCTCGGCGAAGTAGAGAAGAACGACTGCATGCGTTCTAGTTGTAACACGGCCACTTTGGGGGCGGTAACTTCCACCGCAGGCTCTCTTTTTCTGCCACTCATCCCTGTATTTCCCACTGCTAGCCAATTGGAGGAGTGCCCTCCAGCCGGCCTCATTGCTGTCTATAAGGAAAGTGTCCTCTACGGTTTATGGGGCCATTTTCCTAAGATCTAAGTTAACTTCTGTCGTCGGTCTGGGATTTGTCCCATTCAACTACATCCGTCCACTTGGGGGAGGTTGGCCAGTCTTCAGGTCCTCTTCGACCTTTTGGGGATACTGGTCTGATGGTGGCTGGTATTTGATGACACCTATATTTTACCCACTTTTACTATCATAAGTGGATGCTAATTCAAGCATTTCACTATGAGTTTTATGCATAAATACTAGAATTCGCGTATTTGTATGATCAAAACTCTTTTGAGGAAAACAAAGCAAAAAGGATGCAAAATAGAGCAAAAATGAAGATTCCCAAAATCAGTACAAGATGGCACAATTCCAGACCCGAATGAAGACCTTCTCATCACGAGATGAAGCTATGATAGGCTGAACTACTACCTTTCATGCTGAAGTGATTTGAAAACAATCACATGGTTGGATCTCAAGTTACAAGGCAAGGAAGAAGGTCTGTCAATCAGTAGAAAGAGCACCGTGGTCATGCCAGGCAAGGCCTATTGCTGCACCACGGATGCTCGTTCGTAGGGCAGCTTTTAAAAAGATGTTTTCCAAGCCCATTGCAGCCTAACTCATTTCCCGAGCCGTCAAACGCAAGTATGACCTAAAGAGGATGACCTAGAAGACTCGAGACCTATAAATACTTAGCTTTAGGATTTTTCAAACATGTAACTTCTTTCAGAAATGAAATTTAATAGAGTTTTTAGCAGCCACCATGTTTTAAGGCTTTCTTTTTTTTTGTGTTCAAAGGCAGGGAGAGATTTATCTCTTGAAACCTCTTATGCTTACTTTGTTCATTCAAAACTTCCACATCAAAATAGTGTTTTTTTTCTCTTGATCATGTGTGAGTAGTTTACTTTCGTGGGGGACTTCAAATAGGTTCTTAGGAGAATTTCATTAATCATTGCTACTTATTCTAATTTTTTTAATCTTGTTCTTAGGAATGTCTTTTGCCGAGTTTTTTTTCCTTTTTTTTTGTCGACAACGTTGTTATTTAGATTAAAAAGAAACTAACGTACAACTAAAGTATCCATTTAATACAATACTCACTAATTGCTGCCTAGCTACTTTTGCTAACATATCAACTTATTGAAGAAATCTTCTCAGAGCATAATGGAAGCAAAAGGAGGAGACAGATGATAAAGCAAGGATATCTTGCATAAGGATTGCAATAGATTGCTGATGAATTTCAAACAGCAGACCTCCATTGTGATACTGCAGGATTTCATATAACATTTTGAAATCACCTATAAAAGTTATACGAGTGTATCCCAAAGCATGAAGACGCTTAGCAGCCATTAATAAAGCAAGCCCTTCTGCATGTAAGACAGTTTGCGTTGGGGGTACAGAGCCACTTCTTTTGAGCAGTTGGATGCCTTCGGACCATCCAATACCAGCTTGATGAGGAGGTGAGACCTAAGACGCATCAACAAGGTAGTAATAGTCAGAACTTGCTTCCATGATGTCAACAATCCTTGTAGTGTCAGCAGACGAAGTATCAGCTTGGATATTGAAGGATTGTAACTCCTTACTAGCTGTTTCTTCCCACTGCTGTTTATCAATGAAGGCCATATGAATAGTATGTGTGATATGTTCTCGTTAATGCTGAAAGAGCAATTTATTCTGCATTTTCCATATACGCCAGCTTAGGAAGAAAACAAGAGTTTCAGCTTGATGAGATTTCAGTCGTGTTAACCATAATTGGAAATTTTGAAGCAGAGCATTCTGAATAAGTAAGTCTGCATTCAACATAGTGGAGGTGGCTAACTCCCATATATCTTTGGTGACTCTACATTGAAACAGTAAGTGATTTATCGTTTCAGGATGATCACCACATAATGGACAGCTGTTATCTTTTAGCAACTCACGCTTCCGAAGATTATTCGAGACAGGTAGGCTATTATGAACTACACGCCACCAAACAATTTTGATTTTTGTTGGAATTTTAGTCTTCTAGAGAAGCCTACATACCTGTTTAGCTTCATATGATATGGCGGAATTGTGGTGACTTTGCAATGTACTCTCAACTGTAAAATTCCGCTGAATATAATAACCGGTCTTAGCTGAGTAAATGCAAGTATTAGTATAAGACCACGAAAGCACATCGCTGGCAAAAGATACGCTGGGTCACAGTTTCGTAATCGCTGCGGTATCATCTGAAGCTATAAATGTTGACAGAAGATCATGATTCCAGTCATGAGTAGAGGGGTAATGAGATGAGATACATAAAGATTTGGAGTAAAAACAACATGCCTGGGAAGCAGGGGACGAGGAGGCTCTGTAGGAAGCCAACTTTCTTTCCAAACTTGAATCTAATGTCCTTTGCCCACTAACCAGCGACTGCCAAATTTAATCAAAGAATGACTTTGAAGTATGCTCCTCCATGCATAGATAGAGGTTGCATAGCTTTTGGCTTCCATGAAAGTCGTATGGCGGAAATATTTGAACTTGGAATCTCTAGCAAACAACGAATTGGGACAGTTAATTAAACGCCATGCTTGCTTTGCTAGGAGGACTATATTAAAATCATGTAAATCGCGTATACCTAGACCTCCATCTTTCTTAGAGGCAGTGATCTTGTCCCATGCAATCCAAGGAACTTTATGCTGGCCTTTAATTCCAGACCACCAGAAGCTACGCATAACTGAAGTAGTATCACTAACTACACCTTTAAGGAGCATAAATCAAGACATTGTATATGCAGGTAAAGCAGTAATAATAGCTTTAAGCAGCACCTCTTTACCTGCTTGAGAGGGATATCGGTTATACCAGCTGTCCACTTTATTTTGTAAACGCTGCAAAATATAATTGAAGAGATCTTTCCACCTTCGACCAATGTGCTCCAGCAATCCAAGATAACGCCAAAAACCTGCCATCTTCTGAATACCTGTTTTCTGAATAGTCATTTGCTGAATATTATGAGGAGTACCTTTACTAAAGGTAATAGCAGATTTATTGTAATTAACCTCCTGACCTGAACCTCTTTGGTAAATGGAGAGAATATTCAAGAGATTACTACATTCTGATTCAGAGGCTCTGCAGAAGAGTAAAGAGTCATCAGCAAACAAAAGATGTGAAATCATTGGCCACTCCTAGATGCCTTCTAGCCATAGCCATGGATCTGTTGTTTCTGAATACAACTTTTAATAAGTCTAGATAAGCCCTCAGTACAGATCAAATAAAGATAAGGGGAGATAGGATCACCCTGACGTATGTCGCGAGTGGGGATAATTTTGCTCAAGGGTGCACCATTAATTAACACCGAGAAGGAAGCAGTGGTGATACATTTCATAATCCAACCCCGCCATTGGTCATTAAAACCCATCTCTTGCATAATAAGATTTAAAACGGCCATTCTACTCGATCAAAACCTTTAGTAACATCTAATTTTAAAGCCATATAATCTTTAGACAACTTCTTAGTATGCGAGGAGTGCAATAGTTCATGAGCAATCAAAACATTATCTGTTATAAGGCGACCAGGAATGAAGGTTGATTGATTATCCGATATAATAAGATGTAGCCAACACTTCAGTCTCTCAGCTAAAATCTTGGATATGATTTTGTAAGCGACATTAGTAAGACTAGTAGGTCTATAATCTTTAACCATGTTGGGTGAATGAATTTTAGGAACTAAACATATATGAATGTGATTAATATCTAGGTCTAACTAGTTCCCTTCAAAGAAAAGCAGTACGAAAGAGCACACACCTTGCTTAATAGTTTCCCAGTGATGTCGGTAAAGGCCTGCTGTCATGCCGTCAGGTCCCGGAGAATTTTCTGGATTAATAGAGAAAACGGCTTGTCGGACCTCTTCCTCACTAACAGGACGAGTAAGTGCGCAGTTGATATCATCATTTACTGTTTTAGGAATACCAGCTAGGATCTCCTCCGCAATTTGACAGCCATTAGAAGTGTACAGCTTCGTAAAGTAGTGTTGAATTTCCTACTGAACATCATCAGGCTTATCAAAGTAATGACCTGCTTTAGTGTGTATATGTAAGATTCGATTGAAAGCTTGACGTTGCTTCGTTTTAGCATGAAAGTACCTGGTGTTCTTATCTCCCACTTACAGCCACAAAATTCTGCTTTTCAATTTCCAGTATTCCTCTTCCAGTTTGTATTGGAACTGTAATTGAGACTTCAAATTATTAATAAGATTATAATCCAAATGTGAAGCTTCATAAGCAGAATGAAGATGATCCCTTAATTCCATGATCTTCTTTTGAGAGTTCTGAATGGTGATTCCTTTCCAGCAGGATAACGCCATGTGACACTTAGCAATAGCTTTACTGAAGACATTAGGTGGAATTGTAGAGCAGTGAGTATTCCAGGTGTTGGCGATTAATTCTCGGACCTCCAAACTATGTTGCCATCTATTATCATAAAGAAATAACTTATAGTCACATTTTCGATGAAGCTCAGTATGAATGAGTAGAGGTCGATGATCAGAAGCATTCCAAGGAAAAAGTTGGACATAAGCAGTGGGAAACATGTCAAGCCAATGAGAATTTGCAACTGCACGATCAATTTTTGATTTAACAGTATGCGAATGTCTATTTCCGGTGCAAGTATATTTGCCTCCTATCGTTTTGAGATCATGTAAACAGCAAATAGACAACATATTACGAAAAGTATAGAAAGAAATTTCTGACCTTAAGGACCACCTTTCTTCTCATTGTTGGAAGTTATGTCATTAAAATCTCCAAATACCAAGCATGGCTTATCCTGATAAAACCCTGCATTTGCTTGAGACATCATAGAAAACCACATAGAATGGCGATACTTTTTAACTGATTTTCCGTATATATAGGTACACCAAAAAGTGGTTGCACCTTCCGTTATACACATGTTCGTGCTGTTAAGAGCAGGTTTAGTCAAAAACATGATAGCTACACTGTCATCCCAAAAAATTGGTATACCACCACTAAACCCACACGGAGATACTATAATGCAATGGGCATAATTAAGTTCCTTAGCTACATTTTCAACTACACTATGACCGTTTTTAGTTTCACTAGAAGCATGATATCAGGTTTAGAAGACTTCCAGATATCCTTAAGATTTGGAATTGTCAAGTCGCTCCCTAAACCTTGGCAATTCCAATGCAAAAACTTCAATGGCCTTCTGGTGGTTTTAAGGGAACCACCAACCCTTTAACATCAGTCGAGTCTCAAGATTGATGTTTTGTAGTGAGTGGATGTTGATGAGCTTCAGAGTCCTGCTGCTTCCGCTTTGAACCAAGCTCCATTCTACTGGAAGGCTCTCCTGGATCAGTGGAATCGATCTTTAAAAGTGAGGTATTGGGAAGAGCCTGAAAAGAACTTGCAGAAACAGTAGTAGGAGCTGCCGATTGCGGACCTGAGGTCTGTTCCGACAAAGATGGAAGAGCAAGAGCTGAGGATTCCATAGTGACCAGCGCAGGATCAATTTGCATTAACTGAAAGCTTTGAGTTTCTAGATTATGAGGATGGGGGCAAACGTCAAAGCTATGTTTCAGACTTTCACAGTTGGTTCAGAACTTTTGTAATACATCGTAGCGAAACTCCAACTCAACTGGTTCTGCTGTACGCATAATTTGAACTGTCCTTGCCAATTAATTTCATCATCCACATTGAAGCGAACCTTAACCCAACCTCCGCAGGACGAATACCAGTGGGCTCAGTAATTTCCACTTCCTCCACATGGCCAAGCTTAGAACCGATGCATTTAACAATTTCCTCTCTTTTGTAAATATTAGGAAGATTTTCAATACGAACCCAGAAAGGGATCGTCTTGAAAAACGTTGGAAGTTCGCGATGATTCCACCGATCAATAGCCACCATCCAGCCTTTAGACGTATACGGGGCATTCTCAAGGATGGTCAGGAGATGATGTTCGGATCTGAAATAGAAATTGACAGTACCATCATCATTGACTTATCTTTCGACCTTTCCTGTCAAGTTCCATGCCTTCGGAAGAGTGATTTTCATACTAGTGGGATTCCATGCTCCGGATTAAGGCCTTGAACCACCAAACAGAGGCGATGATCTTTTTTGAATTTTGCTTGAGCATCTTCATGGACTTCCCACTTATACTTAATCGAGCCAATCTTCAGGCCTTGGAACGCTTTCCGTAACTCGCGCTGAGAACTTTGGGAACTTTGAGAAGTCATGGAGATTCAAAATTGAAGACAGAAAAGGAGTTTGAGGGATAGAGTAACAAAATTAAAGGCAAAGAAAAGATTTAAACCAGATTAACTGAGAGAGATTTTGAACGATGTCGAAAAGATGAACCCTAGAACAGGGAAGTTTCTAGTCGCAGCTTCAAGAGTTTTTTTAGTTCCTGTTTCAAAGGAATCATCTTGCCTGTCAACTGGGTGAGCTTCATCTCATTGGTTTGTCAACTGGGAGATGAGTAATGTGTGCGCAACCTGTTGTGTCCGCCGTCCAGGATCTGAGATCACCTAGCAAACGGTGAGCTGGCCTCTAGGAGGACAGGAAAAAGTTTTTCCTCCTGAAAGTTCCCCGACGCTCAAGTTAAAAATGTCATACTAGGAACATATACTCATGAGGGTAGGTTTTAGGTGGGTTACAAGGTGGAGTAATATATCCGGAGATCGTAATACTCATCTGCTATTTGGTGTCGACCGTAAAGGCCGTGAGTCGACATGAGAGTGGGGTTGGAACTCTCTCATGACGGGTAAGATGTGGGAAGGAGGAGAAGGTCGCCTTCTTAAACGCATCCTCTGAGCTAGTTAAGGAGACCGTGACTGGAGACAGTTGCATTTGGTCAGGGACTTCAGATAGGAGCTCTTAAACATTATGGCGGAGAGGACTTAGTCACAGAGAGATCCCTTGAAGACTCAGTGACCATTCCTCCTCTTTTTTGGGTGAAGTTTATCTCTCTCTCTAACCTTAACCATTCATCCGCTCGGCTGACACCATCTCGTTTGAGTCGTGAGGTCTTATTTATACTACTTCTAACTGATCTTCTATTGGTTTTACGTACTTTGCGCCAGACACATACAACGGCTTGGAGTGTCTGCAATGTCTGGCCTGCAGTCTATCATAACAAATTTGATAACAATCCTGTTAAATGAATCTTTTTGTTGATGTAGAACCTTTTGATAGGCTCATAGAAAATTGATCTCAATAATTATATACAATTTTATCTAAAAGTAAACTCTCATTTTAATATTAATTTTTTGTTTTGTTTATATAAAATTTGTAAATGTTAGAAAAGCGATAAAAATTTTTTATATAAAATCATTCTATGACAATATTTCCAAATATATGGTTCAATTTTATCTTCAACATTAAAGATATACAGTGACAACATTTTTTTAATTTTTAAAGTTATAAGTATAAACATTTTTTTTTAATCTAAAAAGTTTCGTATGATATTAACATTTGTTATATTGTGATATCCAAGATTTTGAGTCATAAGGTCAACTTTATGTATGTCATTTTCATAAATAAATTCTCACCTTCTTAGTGACATTTTGGAGGAAGGTTTTATAAGGCTATGGATTGAAACAAATTGTCTATAGAAGTTCTGATCTTTTGCCCAATATCTAGAATCAATAGTTCATAATATAAAGTATTAAACGTAAATCAAATAATTTCCAATAATAATTATTTAAGATCATATTTCATGAGTAAGAAGTGATAAATTGGATTGCATTGCTAAATATTATTTACATGAATAAAGGTAAACGCTCATGTCTCCCCGTGGGGGACCCTGCCTGCTGAAGATAGGCTTTACGGCACTCTTAGCCTATTTCTCCTCCAAACTCGAGCTTTACCACACGCGACATTTGTAGAATTTGCATCTTCCAATTCGATTTTTATTTGAACACAAATTTGTTTACGACTCTTTTCTCCAGTAAAATGTATATTATATTTATATACATGTGTGTAATGCAGCATGTGGCTACAGTTGAACATTTGATCGAAACAAAGACGGTAAGAACATGTGATCGATGTACTTACTCTGTTTTTATTGTATACTCACTTTTTGGATTCATGAGGTACAAATCATGTGTCACTGAATCAACATACGTAGCTCGCTAGCTCTTGTGGTTAGTATTCCTTTGAGGCTTTGAGAATGGATATTTTGCATCTTAACATGTATTATCAAAGAAACATTGGTTTCAATGTACATATTCGACATTGGTTTTTAGTTATAAAAATTCATCATCTTTGTAATTTTGAAATAGTTTAACCGGTGAATTTAGAGTCTACCAAAAAAGACAAAAAAATAAACTATTCACGTGTATATAAAACAAAGGTGGACATCCAAAATATATAATACAATTGTCTTTTCTTTCGTCATAATTCAACAGCCAATGAAATTCAAAAATTTTATAGATGGCCAATAAAACTCAGTGATTTTTTTCAGCAAGCCAATGGAATTTAGTCGAGGCTGCTTCATTTTATTTCTCAAATATATCTGCCGAACAGAAATAACACTGGTAATTCATATTATCGACACGTAGACGCATTATCAATTCCACTCAGATTTATTTATTTTCTTGTCATATTAATGTTTTATTCGTTGGCCACATTGCTCTGAAGCTCGTATAAATTCATACTCTGGTCCCAGCAAAAAAAAGTATGCATAAAGAAAAGGAGCGGATATTTTTGTGTGAAGGAGAAAAAAAAAGATGCTTCTCTCTGCTCAAAGGAAGCAACCAAAATCAAATAAATGTGAACTCAATTAAAATTTAAACGTATCGAATCTCATTGGCTTTGAGACAAAGAATATGATAGAGTTTAAAGGGAATTTTTTTCCATTTTTGGTTGCGAATATATTTCCTTTTATGGAACATGGAACAACCAAAAAGCTCTCAAATAAAGATTCATTTTGCCTGTCCTTAAGAAAAGAATTGATTGTTAAATCAGCAAAGTTTTCCACAATGCAAGAATTGAAAATGAAAAAATGGCAAGAAAACCCTATCTTTTATGGAAAATTTCTAGATATTTACTTTATCCGTAGTTATTCTGATTGTCTTTCGATAATAGTTTTGATCGATACCAACAAATACTAGTATTGTCTTTCTCTAGATTTCAATGGCCTAGTCTTGAAGCTGTACGTAGTGGAGTGTTTTTTTTTTTTCATTTATAATTTATTCTTAGCTCCACTAACCAATACAACATCTTGTCCTAGAAAACGGACAAGGATAAATATAATCAAACCAAAATGAGTTATTACAAATATAGTACAAACTGCTAACGTCAAAGCTAAAGCTACTACATCCATACAACCATAGATAACACAAACACCAATAAAGCCCACAAAACAAACTCGTTATTGAAACAAAAAGTAAAAATTAAGGAGTAATATAAACTCCAAAAAATGATGTTTTGACAGGAACATATGTACGTCAACGTTGAAGGCAAATGGCTCCAAAGAATAGCTATCAATCTAAACCAACATGGTTCTCATCATATCATTTGTACCGGGTCCAGAACAGCTCTTTGTCCTGGCGACCGGGAGGACAGGAGTCGTCTTTCCTGGTGTTTGTGATGTCAGTTCTTCAGCTCTCTCTGCTTGGACTTCCCAGTCTGTTCTCAAGAGTGCACACAACATGAGAGAAGCGCATGTCGCTTGAGCCGCAAGCAACGCAAACCAGAGACCCGGAAACCCTAGTTTGAGAACGAACCCTAAGAGAATAGCCACGGGCATGCCCACAAAGTAAAAAGAACCCAAATTTATATTGGCACCAAGTGTTGGTCTTGCACAGCCTCTCAAAGCCCCACAACCAGTCGTCTGAGGACAGTTCCCGAGTTCACATAGGCCCACTATGGGCAATGCCATTGAAGTCAGCTCAAGAATATCTGCATCCGTGGTGAACAAGCGTCCCCATCGGTGTCTAACCAGCACTGTGAACACCAATGCCATTAGGCCTAAGGCGGCCGCACAGAAGAGAGAAATTATCATGGATACACGAGCTTTCGCAGGACGTTTAGCCCCAAGCTCGTTACTGATTCTGGTCGAGACACCGAGGCTAAGTGATGATGGAAAGACGTAGATTAAAGCCGTTGTCTGGATTAAGATTCCCATGGAAGCAACGGTGGCTCTTGGGTTAGCCAAAAGTCCACACAAAATGATCATGAACTCATACCACCACCACTCTAAACAAACAGATACACAAGTGGGTATGGCAAGTGATAGCAAAGACGACCAACCTTTAAATGCGTCAATAGTTAGAGGGACCCACGTATCACTATGCACGCATGTGAAATACACAAAAGAAGATAAGAGGACTACAAGGTTGAGATTAGTCAAGACCATAGCCATGGCGACTCCGGCGACTCCCATCTCGAGCTTCACCACAAGGATAAAGTTTAAAGGAACGTGAAGGAGAACGGACACGGCCGTAGAGTAAGTCACGGGCAATGTAATGTTTTGTGTTCGGAGGTAAACACGGAGAGGGTGAAGCAGAGAGAGGAGGAAGAGGTCAGGGATTGCGAAAAGAAGGAACTTTTGAGCAACGGAGGAAATCTCTTCGTCCTGGCCGCACCACAAGAGGATTCGTCTCATGTTGAGCCAAGAGAATGAGATCGGAACCGAACATGATAGGAGGAGAAGGACGGTTCTTTGAAGGGTTAGCCCTAAAAGCTTCATTTGTTTAGCACCGTAGGCCTGCCCGCAGATTGGTTCCATCCCCATGGATAAGCCGGAGATGATGGAGTAGCCGGTGATATTGGCAAAGCCGATGGAGAGAGATCCTCCGGCTAGCTCAAGCTCCCCGAGGTAGCCGAGGAACAACATCGATATTAATGCTCTTGAGTACATAAGAAGTCCGGTCATCGCAGTCGGAACAGAGATTCGTCCGATCGCCTTCACTTCCTCTAAGCCCTGCCAAATTATCAAGAAAAAAAAAACAAGTGAAGACCAAGTACCGTCCACGTCTATATAGATATTTAACCAACCCGAACTTTTTTCTTTTTTTGGTTACGGTTAATTTTTTAAATTAAATGAAAACCTTTACAAAGAAAATAGAATTTTTTTTTTAAGAAAATAGAGTTTTATTGGGGGTCACAAGAGGAGAAGAAAATTTTAAAATTCTTGCGTTATTGAAATACTATATATATAATACGTTTGGACAAGTTTAAACAAGAACTCGGTTTTTGTAATTTATATGTGTACTTTTTGTTCGAATACATATATGATTTATATGTGTACTTTTAGTTCGAATACATATACAGTATATGCATACGAAATCAAATAAAACTATATTTACCTCAAAAAAAGTTGGCCATCTATTAAGGTTCAGAGACTCGTTATCGGTGAATTCGGTATAATGAGGATGGTTTGAATTACAGGTTTCGAGTATTGATAAATGAGTTTTGTCGTTAGATGATAATAAGGAAGAAGAAGAAGATGGTGTTAAATTACACATCACTCCAGAGCAGAGTAAATTGGTTTTTGAAGAAGAAGATGGTGTTAAATTACACATCACTCCAGAGAAGAGTAAATTGGTTTTGTGCGGAATAGAGATAAAGAGACAAAGAGACAGAGCCGAGAGCTTTTAAGCCTTTTTGAGGCAAAATGGTTTATGCGAATGATAAAAGAAACAGAGAGGAACTAAAATTTTAATGCGGGATTGGTTGGGCCTTTTGGAGGAGAGCCCTCTATATATAGTTGCAAAGAATTGATGTCGTCTCGACATCTGGTGCTTCATTAGTTTTAATATAATTTCTATTTTAACATGGGAATTATTTTTTTATCTAATCTTTTTATAAAGTGGAGTTTTTGTTTTTTCGTTTTGACTTAAAATATCGTGTGTTATTACTACACCAACGGAAAATGACACTAGGAATTCCACTAGATAAAAAAAAAAAAAATACTAGGACCATGAACTATATATATTTAATATATTTTTTATTAAAAATAATATTTCACATCAGAAATTGAAATAAATCTTAAATAATATGTAATATTTATACGGGTTAATACACTTATTATCAATTAGATTTAAATTGGAAATTAATGTAAACTAACATTTCAACTATTTTTTCCATAGTAACCGGAGATTCCACGTTAAAATCCAAGACTAGTATTTGACGTCTATAAGTATCAGATATTTTATTATTATTTAAACTATTTACAATTGTCATCTATAATTAAATCTTTAAACCCGATGAATTAGTTTATCTTGCTAAAACATTATCAACAATATAATAGTTCGAGACTCGAGACTTCGAGAGTATCATTTTGATAGACGACCAAAAAAAGAGGATCACGTTATTTATTTTAAATTACACTGTTCAATAACATAAGTTTTTGCCTAATTTTTTAAGACACATCTTTTTTCTGGAATAAAGAACAAAAAAATAAATAAGAGCATGGGTTCACCATATTAAAATCTTTCGGTTATGTCGGCTGGCCAAGTCACAAAAGTTCAACTGCTAATATCAGGGCGTTGTTACCTCGTTACAATAAGATGATTCGTCTAATATATATATTTTTAGGTATGGGTTTGTGTTTCTACATATGTAACTAGCAATAAAATACAAAATTTTGAAAATGATAATATACTAAGAAAATAAATATTGTAGTTCTTTTCGAAGAAAAGATTTATTCCCACTTGAAAACTTTTTTATAAAAAAAAATAAATTTACTTCCACCAATATTTGCATTCCAATCTATACGAAATAAATAAGAGAAGAAACACACTTTTCCAAACTTTATTTACAAAATAAATCATTTACTTATACAAACCCACCCTCTAACCATAAAAAAATCATTTATATCCTTCTTTTGTTATTTGTGTTTTTCTTTTTTATTTATTATTTCACAGTTTTGTAAAAAACGTATTTTAGAATATACATCGTCACCACCGTAGATCCTCGTTGACCTAATTCAAATCTTGCATCACCGCACCTCTCGACGCTGTTGAATTCTCGACGTCCTTCCATCTTTGGTGATTACTTAGATCGGCGTCTTCCATCTTTCTTTGACTGCTACCTCCGATTAACAGCGTCCAAACCCTAAATCCGCCTCTGTCGAGATGTCAGAACCGCATCTGTCGTCTCCGCCGTTGAATCAATGCCAACATAATTCTAAATTCAGTTTTTCTTGTCCATCTTGGGCGATCATCTAAACCAGACTCCTCCAGTATTTTCCGAATGTCTCTTCCGATTAACAGCAAGCAAATCTTAAATCTAAAAAGATGGATATAATTGATGCAATAAGGTGGATGCAAGGGGTGGATGGAAAAGATGGATGCAATCAGGTGGATGGAAGAGATGGATGCAATCTGGTAGATGAAAAAAAGATGGATGCAAGCGGGTGGACAGAAAAGATAGATCTAATCGGGTGGATGGAAGAGATGGATGCCACTGGGTGGATGAAAGAGATGGATGCAATCCGGTGGATGGAAAAAAGATGAATGCAAGCGGGTGGATGGAAAAGATGGATGCAATCGGGTGGATGGAAGAAATAGATGCAATCCGGTGGATGGAAAAAGATGGATGCAAGCGGGTGGATGAAAAGGATAATTGCAAGCAGGTGGATGAAAAAGATGGATGCAATTGAGTGGATGGACGCTCAAAAACTATACTATTATTATGCGCCTTCCAAAGCTAGCACTGTCCACAAAAGAGTATACAAACTCCAACAATTGGACATACGAGAATTACTAGCTTCAGATCTCTACCGTTTCAATTGCGTGTCTACTCGTCAAATTTATGCCGCCGGAAACACAACGACGGCGCTTCGATTATGACTGTTGCAATCTCTTCATTCATCTATCCATCAAGCCTTCGCAAACCTAAATAAAAATGTCACCCAACACAATACTCATTAAGGGCAAAATTGTCACATCAGGTACTTAAATATTGAGCAAAGTGCCTTATATCTTCTAAGTGCCTAATTTTGTAAGAACTTTCTCTAAAGTGTGTTTCTTCGTAAATGTCTCAATAAACAATGAGTCTTATTCTATATTTTTTTATAATCGCTATTAGATGAATAATTTAAAATAAAATAACAGGAGATCTGAGTACTAATCAACCTTTCATTTAGTGATTGATCAATATAGTCCTTTTATCATATTTAAATAAAATAACCAAAGTCGTCATCTATTCACTTCGAGTCTGCTCAAAAGTTTATATATAAACATTAGATGATTTACTATTGAGTTATCTTTTTTCTAAACGTTTGTTTTCAGTCATTAGCTAGATTGTGTCAGAGTTCATACATCTGGTAGATTGGAGAGTAACAGCGAATGTCTCTGAAAATAATGTTTTCTTATCCATAGTGGTAAATAAGCAGTGAGTGTATGAATTCTACCAAGGAAGGGAGGAATAGTAGCAGGGTTGTGATTGAACTTTAGGTGGGACATTTCTTCTTCCTGAAGAATCATCAAAAGAAACACGAAGCCTTATTCGAGAATCTCGTTGCTTGCATAAGTGTGAAGCAGCTTTTGCACCTTTTTCAGAATTCTTAGCCAATGCTTTTTAAACAACCAGCTTGTTCACTTGCACATTAGTATCCAACTCCTTGTTATAATCAGCAGTAATGTCATCTGAATCCTCCCTGAAGTCTCTGCAAATCTCTACAGAAAAAGTATAATAGTCAATGGTGGAACTCCTTTTTAACTTGTTCATGTCAAAATTCATGACAACATCACCCAAATCAAAGTCTATCTTCCCCTTTTTCATGTCAATGATGGCACCAGCTATAGCCAAGAATGATCTTCCCATAATAAGAGGATCTTTAGGTTCTTCAGCAACAGAGGAAGACATCAGCTTAATACTTGATCCTAGATCACAAAGAGAATGAGGAAACCTTCCTGTTGAGATTGAACAGTCTAGCACAAAGTTTCTTGGATCTGGTAGCTTCTCTAGAATCCTGCTCTGAATCATAACACTGACTTGTTCAGAGACCATCACCTTCTTCTTTTTCTTTGGAACTGTGCCCAAAATAATTGAATTAATGTCTATGGTAAGCAATGCTCATTCCTCAGGGGTCACACCATTCACAATCATTCTCTTAACATACCTTTTTAGTGCAAGTGAAAGCTTGGCTGCATCAACTAGAGGTACTTGTCTATCATTGCCTTGCATCTGTTTTCTTCTAGCACATATTTAAAATTCCTAGGATGCTTGGGGTAGGGTATCTTGGATTTATAAACCCGTTCCGTGCCATTATCTGAAGTTACAGGTGAAGCAGCTTCCTTCTGAGGTGGGTGACGATCGTCACCATGTGAGTGACAGTCGTCACTACTTGGTAACAACCCCTGGGTGACAACCTCACTCGCCACCACTCTGTCAGAACGTAATGAGTGACACCCCTCCTAGGTGACGGTTGTCACTCCCTCTGAGCCTGCAAAACATTCATCTTCAAACTGTATTAGTTTCACGATTTTCTCTGCACTCAGCCTCTTTTTCTGCACTGGATTAACCTCTTTACACTTATGACTGTGATGGCATTGACATGATGTCTTGGATTAGTATCAGTCTTTCCAGGAAGGAATCCTTCTTTCCTCTGAACAGCTCCTGCAGTTTGAGCAACTTGAGCAACTTGAATGTCTAATTTCTTAACATAAGTGTTTAAACTCTCAATATTCATATTCAAGTCCTGGTACACTGAATCCATGTTCCCATTAAAATCCGCTGTCATCTTCTGCTGTCCTTCTAGCATAGATTTCATCTCACTCTTTGCAGATTGTGTAGGTGGATTTTGAATGGAAGAGGAACCACAACTCCTTGTGGATTGCTGTTCTGATAAGGTTTCTGGTATTCAGGCTTTGGAGTATAACCAGAAGTGTTCTGATGACCTGTGAAGGCACTTCTCTGACCGTTCCCATTCAAGCTTCCATTCCCTTGATGATTGCTGAATCTCTGACCTTGAAAACCAGCTTCATTGATGAAATTAACGTTTCTTCTCCAAATTCTTCAGCTGATTTCTTACCCACAAGAAGGCTGTGCATTAAATCCAACTTAGCATAAACCTCAGCAGTATGACTTTCATCCCTGTTTCCAGCTGCTTCTTCCTCTCTAAATCTGCATTTTTGGTACTATTGCTAGATGCCAAGTTTTTAATCAGCACATAAGCATCTTCTGGATACCTGGTGTTGAAGTTTTCATTGCTTGCAGCATCTAGAACCATCTGATACCTCCAGTTCACGCCTTTAAAGAAGATACCACTGAACCCATGATGTGGACAGTTTCTCTGATATGCTTTGAATCTCACCCAAGCAACCTTGAATGCTTCAGTTGGTCCTTGAGAAAATGTAGAGATTTTTGTTCTCAAATTTTACCATAGAAATTGTTCAGGAATATATTCTTTGTGACCTCCCAAGTTGTCAGTGATCCTGGTTGCAACTTTTTCAGCCAGTAAGCTGCATCTCCATTAAGAGAGTATAGGGAGAGCTTGCAGAAGAGGTAATCATTGGACACTCCATTGTATTTGATACTTGTCACAAAGTCCTCAAACCTCTCTATATGGTCCATGGGGTGCTCATGAGGAAGACCATGAAAAAGGATCTTGAGCCACAAGTTGGTAGTAGGCAGGCTTCAGCTTAAAGTCATTCCTCTAAAAGGAGGTGAGCGAATTGCAGCTCTATTAGCATATAACTGATCAGGCCTGTTGTAGTCTCCCAATGTCCTCCCACGTCCAGTAACATTCACTACAGTAGGTAGCTGCTCTTGCTGTCCAACTGGTTG